GGAAAAAATGGGAAATTGGTGAAAATGGGGAAAAATTGGGTAAAAAATAGGAACAAATGGGAAAATTGGGTAAAAATGGGAAAAAATGGGGAAAAAGTGGGGAAAAAAATGGGTAAAAAACCATTGGGTAAAGAAAGGAAAAAATGGGAAATGGGTGAAAATGGGGAAAAAATGGGTAAATATGGGAAAAAAATAGGGAAAAATTGGGTAAAAAACAGGAAAAAATGGGAAATTGATGGAAATGGGGGTTTTGGGGTGAAAATGAAAAGGGGAGGTGGGGGAAAAATGGGGTTTGGGGGGGAAAAGAGAGAAAAATGGGGGAATTGGTGCACAAGGGGGCAAAATGTGGGATTTTGGGGTAAAAGGAGGGATTTTGGAGAAAAAGGAGGCATTTTTGGGGTAAAAAGCAGGGATTTTGGGGTAAAAGGAGGAATTTTGGGGTAAAATGAGGGATTTTGGGGGTAAAAGGAGGGATTTTGGGGTAAAAGGAGGGGTTTTGGGGGTAAAGGGAGGAATTTTGGGGTAAAGGGAGGGATTTTGGGAGAAAAAGGAGGGGTTTGGGGGTAAAGGGAGAGGTTTTGGGGGTAAAAGGAGGGGTTTTGGGGGTAAAGGGAGGGGTTTGGGGTAAAGTGAGGGATTTTGGGGTAAAAGGGAGGGATTTTGGGGCCGGGGGGTCCGAGGGTCCCTTTCCTTGACCCCTCCCCCACGCCCTGGACCTGTGGATGCGGCTGAGCCGGAGCGAGGAGGGGGAGGGGGACCCCCCCCCAGGGGAGGTGAGGAGACCCCAGACCCACCCTGGGACCCCCCACCCTGATCTGGGACCCCCAAACTGACCCCAGACCCATCCTGGGACCCCCCACCCTGATATGGGACCCCCAAACTGACCCCAGACCCATCCTGGGACCCCCAGAGTGACCCCAGACCCATCCTGGGACCCCCAAACTGACCCCAGACCCATCCTGGGACCCCCACCCTGATATGGGACCCCCAAACTGACCCCAGACCCATCCTGGGACCCCCAGAGTGACCCCAGACCCATCCTGGGACCCCCAAACTGACCCCAGACCCATCCTGGGACCCCCACCCTGATATGGGACCCCCAAACTGACCCCAGACCCACCCTGGGACCCCCAAACTGACCCCAGACCCACCTTGGGACCCCCTGGGACCCCCAAACTGACCCCAGACCCACCTTGGGACCCCCAAACTGACCCCAGACCCACCCTGGGACCCCCAAACTGACCCCAGACCCATCCTGGGGCCCCCTGGGACCCCCACCCTGACCTGGGACCCCCAGAGTGACCCCAGACCCACCCTGGGACTCCCATCCTGACCCCCCTGAGCCCCCCTGAGCCCCCCAATCTGAATTACTCCCCCCATCCTGAGCCCCCTACCCCCATTGTCACCCCCGGGACCCCCACCCTGACCCACAGCCCCCCCTGTGCTGACCCCAGCCCCCCATCCCTGACCCCCAACCCCTCTCCCTGTCCCTGTTGGGACCCCCCTGGGACCCCCACCCTCACCCCTGTGCCCCCCTGTACCCCATTATAACCCCCTGTGCCCCCATTGTAACCCCTGTGCCCCCATTATAACCCCCTGTGCTCCCTGTGCCCCACACCCTGTACCCCCCATGCCCCCTGTGCCCCCTGTACCCTCATTATAACCCCCTGTGCCCCCCTGTACCCCCTATACCCCCCATTATAACCCCCTGTACCCCCAGTGCCCCCCCTGTGCCCCCTGTACCCCCCTTGTAACCCCTGTACCTCCTGTACCCCCTGTGTGCCCCCCTGTGCCCCCATTGTAACCCCTGTACCCCCATGATAACCCCCTGTACCCCCCATTATAGCCCCCCTGTGCCCCCTGTACCCCCTGTGACCCCATTATAACCCCCTGCGTAACCCCTGTGCCCCCATTTTAACCCCCCATGCCCCCTGTACCCCCTGTGCCCCCAATATAATCCCCTGTACCCCCTGTACCCCCATTATAACCCCCTGTGCCCCCAATATAATCCCCTGTGCCCCCCCGTGCCCCCATTATAACCCCCTGTGCCCCTTTTGTGCCCCCCTGTGCCCCCTGTACCCCCATTATAACCCCGTGTGCCCCCCTGAGCCCCCTGTACCCCCTGTGTGCCCCCCGTGCCCCACACCCTGTGCCCCCTGTACCCCCTGTGCCCCTTGTGACCCCCCCATTGTCCCCCCAGGCGCGGGGGGGTCTCCTGTGGCTGGTGCCCCCCATCCTGGTGTCCTGGGGGGCTGGCACTGCCCTGTACCTGCTGCCCGTGCGGGGCCAGGCCGTGGCCACCCAGCACTTCCCGGTGGGCGAGGCCGAGGCCGTGGTGCTGGCACTGATCGGCATCTACGTGGCAGGGATGGCACTGCCCCACAGCACCCACAGGTGAGCCTGGCACAGGCACACACAGGTACCCACAGGTACCCACAGGTACAGCTGGCACTGCCCCACAGCACCCACAGGTGAGCCTGGCACAGGTGAGCCTGGCACAGGTACAGGTGTGGGGCTGGCACTGCCCCACAGCACGCACAGGTGAGCCTGGCACAGGTGAGCCTGGCACAGGTACCCACAGGTACCCACAGCACATACAGGTGAGCCTGGCACAGGTGAGCCTGGCACAGGTACCCACAGGTACCCACAGCACCCACAGGTGAGCCTGGCACTGCCCCACAGCACGCACAGGTGAGCCTGGCACTGCCCCACAGCACACACAGGTGAGCCTGGCACAGGTGAGCCTGGCACAGGTACAGGTGTGGGGCTGGCACTGATCGGCATCTACGTGGCAGGGATGGCACTGCCCCACAGCACCCACAGGTGAGCCTGGCACAGGTGAGCCTGGCACAGGTACCCACAGCACACACAGCACCCACAGGTACAGCTGGCACTTCCCCACAGCACGCACAGGTGAGCCTGGCACAGGTACAGGTGTGGGGCTGGCACTGATTGGCATCTACGTGGCAGGGATGGCACTGCCCCACAGCCACCCACAAGTGAGCCTGGCACTGCCCCACAGCACCCACAGGTGAGCCTGGCACTGCCCCACAGCACGCACAGGTGAGCCTGGCACAGGTGAGCCTGGCACAGGTACCCACAGGTACCCACAGCACCCACAGGTACAGGTGTGGGGCTGGCACTGCCCCACAGCACGCACAGGTGAGCCTGGCACAGGTACAGGTGTGGGGCTGGCACTGCCCCACAGCACCCACAGGTGAGCCTGGCACAGGTACCCACAGGTACCCACAGCACACACAGGTGAGCCTGGCACAGGTGAGCCTGGCACAGGTACCCACAGGTACCCACAGCACACACAGGTGAGCCTGGCACAGGTACCCACAGGTACCCACAGGTGAGCCTGGCACAGGTACCCACAGGTACCCACAGCACCCACAGGTGAGGCTGGGCACAGGTACCCACAGGTGAGCCTGGTGCTGCCTCAGGGCACCCACAGGTGAGCCTGGCACAGGTACCCACAGGTGAGCCTGGTGCTGCCTCAGGGCACCCACAGGTGAGCCTGGCACAGGTACCCACAGGTACCCACAGGTGAGGCTGGCACTGCCCCAGGGCACCCACAGGTAGAGCTGGCACTGCCCCTCAGGTACCCCCAGGTACAGGTGTGGGGCTGGTATCAATGTGTGACACTCAGGATGGTGGCACTGTGTGACACTGTGTGACAGGGATGGTGGCACTGTCACACTGGGATGGTGACAGGGATGGTGGCACTGTGTGACAGGGATGGTGGCACTGTGTGACACTGGGATGATGACAGAGGTGGTGGCACTGTGTGACAGGGATGGTGACAGGGATGGTGGCACTGTGTCACACTGGGATGATGACAGAGGTGGTGGCACTGTGTGACAGGGATGGTGACAGGGATGGTGGCACTGTGTCACACTGGGATGGTGACAGAGATGGTGACAGGGATGGTGACAGGGATGGTGGCATTGTGTGGCACTGGGATGGTGGCACTGTGTCACACTGGGATGGTGACAGGGATGGTGGCACTGTGTGACAGGGATGGTGGCACTGTGTCACACTGGGATGGTGACAGAGATGGTGACAGGGATGGTGACAGGGATGGTGGCACTGTGTGACAGGGATGGTAGCAGTGTCACACTGTGTCACTCTGTGTCACTCTGTGTCTCTCTGTGTCCCCAGGGCTCTCTCAGGGGGTGCCCAGCGTGGCTGGATGTCCCTCAAGCTGGTGGCCCTGTGTGACAGGGATGGTGGCACTGTGTCACTCTGTGTGACAGGAATGGTGGCACTGTGTCACTCTGTGTCACTCTGTGTCACTCAGTGTCACTCAGTGTCACTCAGTGTCACTCTGTGTCACTCTTTGTCCCCACAGGGCCCTGTCCGGGGGTGGCCAGCGTGGCTGGATGTCCCTCAAGCTGGTGGCCCTGCTGGCCCTGGCCCTGCTCCTCTCCTGCCTGGCCCTGCTCAACTTCTCCCTGGGCTTCCTGCTGGGCGCCACCCTGGTGCCACCTGCGGCCGCCGTCAGACCTGGGGGCAACAGGTGAGACACACCTGGGGACACCTAGGGACAGGTGAAACACACCTGGGGACATGGGGACAGCCTGGGGACATGGGGAGAGCCTGGGGACACCCCGGTGCCACCTGCGGCCGCCGTCAGACCTGGGGGCAACAGGTGAGACACACCTGGGGACATGGGGACAGCCTGGGGACAGGTGAGACACCTGGGGACACCTGGGGACAGCCTGAGGACAGGTGAGACACACCTGGGGACACCTGGGGACAGGTGAGATACACCTGGGGACACCTGGGGACATGGGGAGAGCCTGGGGACACCCTGGTGCCACCTGCGGCCGCCGTCAGACCTGGGGGCAACAGGTGAGACACACCTGGGGACAGGTGAGACACCTGGGGGACATGGGGACAGCCTGGGGACAGGTGAGACACACCTGGGGGACAGCCTAGGGACAGCTGGGGGCAACAGATGAGACACACCTGGGGACACCTAGGGACAGGTGAGACACACCTGGGGACAGGTGAGATACACCTGGGGACAGGTGAGAGACATCTGGGGGACAGCCTGGGGACATGGGGAGAGCCTGGGGCCACCCTGGTGCCACCTGTGGCTGCTGTGAGACCTGGGGGCAACAGGTGAGACACACCTGGGGACAGGTGAGACACCTGGGGACATGGGGACAGCCTGGGGACAGGTGAGACACACCTGGGGACAGCCTAGGGACACCTGGGCACAGGTGAGACACACCTGGGGGACACCTGGGGGCAACAGGTGAGACACACCTGGGGACAGGTGGGACACCTGGGGACACCTGGGGGACAGGTGAGGCACACCTGGGGACAGCCTAGGGACACCTGGGGGCAACAGGTGAGACACACCTGGGGACAGCCTGGGGACAGGTGAGACACACCTGGGGACATGGGGGCAATAGGTGAGACACACCTGGGGACAGGTGAGAGACACCTGGGGACACCTGGGGACAGGTGAGATACACCTGGGGACATGGGGACGGCCTGGGGGACATGGGGAGAGCCTGGGGACACCCTGGTGCCACCTGCGGGCTGCTGTGAGACCTGGGGGCAACAGGTGAGACACACCTGGGGACAGCCTAGGGACACCTGGGGACACCTGGGGACAGGTGAGACACACCTGGGGACAGCCTGGGGACACCTGGGTACAGGTGAGACACAGAAGGGGGACAGGTGAGCGCCCTTGCACACGGGTGAGGAGGGGTCCCTGGGTGTCCCTGGTGGTCCCTGGGTGTCCCTGGGGGCTCTGGGTGTCCCTGTCCCCCCCCTGCCCACCCTGGACGGTGCCCCCAGTGCTGCTGGTGCTGACCTGGGGGGCTCTGGGTGCTTCCTGGGGGTCTCAGGGGGGCCTCAGGGGGGCCTCAGGGGATCTCAGGGTGGTCCCAGGGTGGTCTCCAGGTGTCTCAGGGTGGTCCCAGGTGTCTCAGGGTGGTCTCAGGGTGGTCCCAGGTGTCTCTAACCCCCCTGTCCCCCATTGCAGGCTGCCCCTGGCCATCCTGCTGGTTCTCAGCACGCCGGGCCTGTCGCTGTTCCTGGGTGGTTCCTGGGGGGTTCCTGGGGGTCTCAGGGTGGTCCCAGGTGTCTCAGGGTGGTCCCAGGTGTCTCTAACCCCCCCTGTCCCCCTCCCCAAGGCTGCCCCTGGCCATCCTGCTGGTTCTCAGCACGCCGGGCCTGTCGCTGTTCCTGGGTGGTTCTTGGGTGGTTCCTGGGGGTCTCAGGGTGGTCCCAGGGTGGTCTCAGGGTGGTCCCAGGTGTCCCCAGGTGTCTCAGGGTGGTCCCAGGTGTCTCAGGGTGGTCCCAGGTGTCTCTAACCCCCCTGTCCCCCTCCCCAGGCTGCCCCTGGCCATCCTGCTGGTTCTCAGCACGCCGGGCCTGTCGCTGTTCCTGGCCGTGCTGCTGGAGCGGGAGCTGCTGGAGGCGCCGGCGGGGCTGGGCGAGGCCTGGCAGCGCTTCCTGGGGGCGCTGGGCCAGGGGCTGCTGCAGGAGCACCTGCACGGGGCCCACCTGAGCCCCCTGCTCTGCCTGGGCGCCTATCCCTGCTGGCTGCTGCTCTGGAACGTGCTCTGGTGGAAATGAGCGACACACGGACACAGGGACACACGGACACATGGACAGACAGACCCACCTGAGCCCCCTGCTCTGCCTGGGCGCCTATCCCTGCTGGCTGCTGCTCTGGAACGTGCTCTGGTGGAAATGAGCGACAGACAGACACAGGGATGGACACACGGACAGACAGACCCACTATCCCTGCTGGCTGCTGCTCTGGAACGTGCTCTGGTGGAAATGAGCGACAGACAGACACAGGGATGGACACACGGACAGACAGACCCACCTGAGCCCCCTGCTCTGCCTGGGCGCCTATCCCTGCTGGCTGCTGCTCTGGAACGTGCTCTGGTGGAAATGACCGACACACGGACACAGGGATGGACACACGGACAGACAGACCCACCTGAGCCCCCTGCTCTGCCTGGGCGCCTATCCCCTGCTGGCTGCTGCTCTGGAACGTGCTCTGTGGAAATGACCGACACACGGACACAGGGATGGACACACGGACAGACAGACCCACCTGAGCCCCCTGCTCTGCCTGGGCACCTGTCCCTGCTGGCTGCTGCTCTGGAACATGCTCTGGTGGAAATGAGGGACACACAGACACAGGGATGGACACACGGACAGACAGACCCACCTGAGCCCCCTGCTGGCTGCTGCTCTGGAACGTGCTCTGGTGGAAATGACCGACACACGGACACAGGGACACACGGACACATGGACAGACAGACCCACCTGAGCCCCCTGCTGGCTGCTGCTCTGGAACGTGCTCTGGTGGAAATGACCGACACACGGACACAGGGACACACACACGGACACATGGACAGACAGACCCACCTGAGCCCCTGCTGGCTGCTGCTCTGGAACGTGCTCTGGTGAAATGACCGACACACGGACAGACTGACAGACACGCATGGATACACAGCCCCCCATCACCCCCTGCACGGGGCCCACCTGAGCCCCCTGCTCTGCATGGGCGCCTACCCCTGCTGGCTGCTGCTCTGGAACGTGCTCTGGTGGAAATGAGGGACAGACGGACACAGGATGACACACGGACAGACTGACCCACCTGAGCCCCCTGCTCTGCCTGGGGGCTTATCCCTGCTGGCTGCTGCTCTGGAACGTGCTCTGGTGGAAATGACCGACACACGGACACAGGGATGGACACACGGGACAGACTGACCCACCTGAGCCCCCAGCTCTGCCTGGGCACCTGTCCCTGCTGGCTGCTGCTCTGGAACTTGCTCTGGTGGAATTGACCGACCACACGGACAGACCGACAGACACGGCATGGATACACAGCCCCCCATCACCCCCTGCATGGGGCCCACCTGAGCCCCCTGCTCTGCCTGGGCGCTTATCCCTGCTGGCTGCTGCTCTGAACGTGCTCTGGTGGAAAATGACCGACACACGGACACAGGGATGGACACACGGACACAGGGATGGACGCATGGACACGAGATGGACACACGGACACATGGATGGACACATAGACACGGAGATGGACACACGGACACAGGGATGGACACACGGACACAGGGGCTGGACACACGGACACAGGGATGGACACACAGGGATGGACACACGGACACAGGGATGGACTCACGGACACGGGTTGGACACACGGACACATGGATGGACACACAGACACACGATGGACACACGGACATGGAGATGGACACATGGACACAGGGATGGACACACGAACACAGAGATGGACACATGGACAGAGGATGGACACACAGGGGTGGACACATGGCACAGGGATGGACACACGGACACAGGGATGGACGCATGGACACAGGATGGACACACGGACACAGGGATGGACACACAGACAGATGGGACACATGGACAGATCTCCTGCAGGGACAGGCCCATGGACAGTCCCACAGAGGGACCCCCGTGACAGTGACAGCCACAGACAGACAGACAGACAGAGCCCTGGAAGGACCCATGGACACACAGACAGACCCCCAGACCCATGGACAGACCCCCCAGACAGACAGACCGACAGAGTCACAGCCAGACCCCAGTGTGTCCCCCAGAGCCACGGCCAGAGCCCCAGATGGACACACGGACACACGAACAGACACACGGACAGACACACAGACACAGCCCCAAAGGGGACACACGGACACATGGACAGACACACAGGCCGGACACACAGCCAGAGCCCGAAAGGGGACACACAGCCAGAGCCCCAGATGGACACACGGGACACACGGACAGACACACAGCCGGACACACAGACAGAGCCCCAGATGGACACACGGACACACGGACAGACACACGGACAGACCACACAGACACAGCCCCAAAGGGACACAGAGCCCCAGATGGACACACGGACAGACACACAGCCAGAGCCCCAAAGGGGACACACAGCCAGAGCCCCAGATGGACACACGGACACACGGACAGACACACAGACAGAGCCCCAAAGGGACACACAGACACAGAGCCCTGGACAGACTCACAGCCAGACCCCGATGTGCCCCCAGACCCATGGCAGGACCCCCCCAGATGGACACATGGACAGACACACGGACACACGCCCAGACCGACCCCCAGGCCAGACCCCCCAGGTGTGACCCCGCTGTGACCCCGCCCACCGGGACGACCCCCGCAATGGGGGCCTAAAGGGGCGTGGCTCTGTCGGGGCATGGTTTGGTGTTGGGTGTGGCTTTGTGGAGGGCGTGGTTTATGAATGGGTGTGTCTGATGTGGAGGGGCGTGGTTTGTTAACGGGCGTGGCTTTTGTTAATGGGCGCGGCTTATACGGGAGACGTTAGTTAATGGGCGTGACCTTGTTAATGGGCGTGGCTTATGTGCAAGGGGCATGGTTTGTTAACGGGCGTGGCCTTTGTTAATGGGCATGTCATGTGCAGGGGTGTGGACTGTTAATGGGCGTGGCTTATGTGCAGGGGTGTGATTCGTTAAGGGCGTGGCTTTGTTAATGGGCGTGTCTACATAGTTTGTTAATGGGCTCAGCTCTTGTTAATTGGCATGTCTCTGCGTGGAGGCGTGGTTTCTTAAGGGGCGTGGCTTTTTTTGCAGGGGCGTGGTTTTGTTATCAGGCGTGGGTTTCGTTCGGGGCGCGGTTTCCCCGAGTGGGCGTGGTCTATCCCCGTGCTCCTCCCCCTCCCTCCGCCAGGGGGCGCCGCAATGAAACCGTTACCGTGTCACGTGCCTGTTCCCGTGACGTCACTCCGTCCCACCCCTTCACGTCACTTCCGGGGCGTCGCGGCGCGTCCCCTCGGACCTCGGCGATGGCGGCGCTGCGGGGCCTGCGGGGCCTCCGGGGCTGCGGCTGCTCCCGGGCCGGCGCGGCCCGGCCCGGCTCCCCCCCGCGCGCTGCTGCGCCCCGACCGCGGCCCCGCACACGGCCCCAGCACGGTGAGTGCGGCCCCGCCAAGGTCACGGCCCCGCTGAGGGCACCGCGCGGCCTCGGGGCCTGGAGCTGCCCTGTCCGGGGCTCGCCGGGGCTGCCTGGGGGCTCTCGGGGCCTGCCCCGGTGTGCCCGGTGCTTCCGAGGCCTGCACGGTGCCCCCGTTCCACTCCCGGCCCCTTCCCGGTTTCCCGGTGCTCCTCGGTGCCGGCCCAGTGTTCCCGAGCCCCGCATGGTGCCCCCGGTTCCCGGTGTCCCCGGTTCCATTCCCGGCCCCTCCCGGTTCTCGGTGCTCCTCGGCCCTGCCTGGGGGCTGTCGGTGCCTGTCCCGGTGTGCCCGGTGTTCCTGAACCCTGCACGGTGCTCCCGGTTCCGCTCCCGGCCCTTCCCGGTTCCAGGTGCCCCCGGTTCCACTCCCGGCCCCTCTGGGTTCCCGGTGTCCGCGGTTTCCATTCCCGGCCCCTCCCGGTTCCCGGTGCTCCCCGGGGCTGCCTGGGGACTGTCGGTGCTTGCCCCGGTGTGCCCGGTGCTTCCGAGCCCTGCACGGTTCCCGGTGCCCCCGGTTCCTGCCCGAGCCCCGCACCGGTGCCCCCGGTTCCCGGTGCCCCCGGTTCCTCTCTCGGTGCCCCCGGTTCTCCCGTTCCCCGCGGTGTCCCCGGCAGCTGTCCCCGCATGGTGCCCGTTGTCCCCCGGTGCCTCCCAGCGTGCCCGCGGTGCCCTCTGCCCGCCCTTCGCGCTGCTCCCGCTAATTCCGGTATCCCCGGTACTCCCGCTATTCCTGTTTCTCGGGAATTCCGGTATCCTCGCTGTCCCCGCTCCTGGGAATTCCGGTATCCCGCTGTTCCCCGTTCCCGGTAATTCCGGTATCCCCGCTGTTCCCGGTATTCCCGTTGTTCCCGTTCCCGGTAATTCCGGTATTCCCGCTGTTCCCGCTATTCCCGCTGTTCCCGTTCCCGGTAATTTCCGGTATTCCCGCTATTCCTGTTCCCGGTAATTCCGATATCCCGCTGTTCCCGTTCCCGATAATTCCGATATTCCCGCTGTTCCCGTTCCCGGTAATTCTGGTATTCCCGCTGTTCCCGGTATCCCCGCTATTCCCGCTCTTCCCGTTCCCGGTAATTCCGGTATCCCCACTGTTCCCGTTCCCGGTAATTCCGGTATTCCCGCTGTTCCCGGTATTCCCGCTGTTCCCGTTCCCGGTAATTCCGGTATCCCCGCTGTTCCCGGTATCCCCGCTGTTTCCGTTCCCGGTAATTCCGGTATTCCCGCTGTTCCCGTTCCCGGTAATTCCGGTATCCCCGCTGTTCCCGGTATCCCCGCTGTTCCGGTATTCCCGCTATTCCCGTTCCCGGTAATTCCGGTGTTCCCGCTGTTCCCGTTCCCGGTAATTCCGGTATTCCCGCTGTTCCCGGTATTTCCCGTTGTTCCCGTTCCCGGTAATTCCGGTATTCCCGCTGTCCCCAGGACCCCCCCATTGCTTTTGTCCCCCCCCGAGCCTTGGGGTCCCCGTGTCCCTGGAGCCCCTGTCCCCACCCTGGTGTCCCTGTCACCTTCCAGGTGTCCCTGTGTCCCCCCCCAGGTGTCCCTGTGTGTCCCCCAGGTGTCCCTCACCTGTCCCTGTGTCCCCCCAGGTGTCCTGTGTCCCCCCCCAGGTGTCCCTGTCCCCCCCAGGTGTCCCTC